GGATTTTGGCAACGGTTGTGAATCAAATCTCATAAAAAATTGTACTTTCCTGTCTTTTCGTGCCCTAAATTCATTAATGATCAAAAAAAATAAAAATCGGAAACTCAACTTAAAGTGGGGGTTTGGAGGTGTTTCGGCGCCTGCAGTCCGGCCGTCTAATCCTGGATCACCTGTATATTATAAAGGAGTATAGCATAGCTTGTTTATTATGCGCGAAATTTTCGGAGAATGTATTTAAAAGAACGAAGGACAATAAGAAACCCCGACTTCTCACTTAAAACCTACGTTTGAAAAATTTCTGACGTCTCTACCGCTTTCTACGAGAAATTTTCAAAAAAAAACACGTGTCGTAGTTCTTAATCCGTCTAGCGGTCCATTGCGTGGATGTGTGAGACAATACCCAAGTGTGTGAAACGCTCCCAGCGCAGGGAAGAAACACGGGGAAGAAATCGATGATATCGTCGATCGAGGTATCGGGGCAAAAAAAAATGATTGAAATGTCTTGAAAAATGAATAGCGGTGGGGTACGAGGAGAAGGGGGCGGGTTTAGGGGTCGAGAGACGACACGGCCAAAGCAGGGGGTTGATGAGGAGGAACTAATAAAATTCTACGTGGTTAGCCTGCATTCCAGCCCTACATTCCACGTCCCTCGTTGTCGGGTCGGCGGGAATCCCCGAATTTTGCGGCGGGAAACTCCGCCGACATCCCTGCGGGGAGCAGCGCTGCGGAGCATCTTACATGGAACAGAACCCTTCATTACGGAACCAAGGTTAGCCCGGCTTGGCGGTGGAATAAAAGTAAGATGATTAGGAAAGCATGCACTCGGGTATTTCGAGTGAATTAATAAGAGCTCGTCATCGAAATTTTCCTGCTGCCCCGTATCCGCTCTCATGATCACCTTCTCCAATCCTTCCAGGATGTTTGAGCTCTGTCGGCCAATGTTATGCGTCATCCACCTGTTCCTTGGAAAATGGATAACTACCTCACAAAAATATTCGGAAAGTAAGCACACATACACTGGAAAAAAACACATTGGATCTAGAGTCCAGACTCTTAAAAACATCGACAAAAAAAATACTCTTTATTCAATCAGATTGCAGCTTAAATCAAGAACCAAGCCTCTTAATTTGGGCGGATTTTCTTTTGATTTAAGCTTAAATCCGATTGAATCAAGAGTCCTTTTTCTTGTCAATGTTTTCAAGAGTCTGGACTCTAGATCCAATGTGCTTTTTTTCCAGTGCATCAACGGTGCGATGAAACCACGTATCTCGATTGCGGTGTTTCAAAATTTCCGCTCATAGTGTATTTTTCAAAAAGAATTTAGAGCTTTGAAATCAAGAGAAATTGATATTGATGTGGAGTTTCGGGGAAATATCACACGCGGAGCAAAGAAAATCTTGCGGATTTTGCGCAAACAAATATGATCAGGCTCTCTTTAGAATGTAGAATTGGACAGTATAGGTCTACACCTTTGCAAGCTAAAATACGTGGTTGTGTAGCTTCGCCATCAATATGTGACCTTCAACGAGGACGAGGACTGTGATGCAAATTTTTCAAAAAAGTGATTCTGTGATGTCTGTGATTTCTGTCGGATTGGGAAATTGTTATTTTGGTTTATGACGGTGAACACTCCCTCTTGACCCCAGAAATAAGTTGTGAAGTCCATTTTCATCCCGACAAAGGAACAAGGGGCAAGGGAGATATGAATTGTAGATAATATTGAGCTTGGAACATTGGAGCTTAAACATACAAGCGCATAGTGGTATTCTAAATTTGATCTATTGCTCCGGGAGCAAGAATATCTGAATTTTCTGAATCGGATAATGGAATGCGAGCAAAGCCTCTTCATTGCCCGGTAAAAATTGGCGATAAGAGCTGCGTTTCAAAATACCATAGGAATTCTTATAGCCGGCTAAGGAAGGCTACAGAAAATCATATAGCTGGCTGTAGAATGCGGAGAAAATCATACGGCCGAGCTATACGAAGCGATAAAAAATTATGCAGCCGGGCTATAGTTCCTATCGCTGGGCTTTACACTTTATTGCCTGGCTGTTGCTTTTTCTCCATCGATTATAAAAGGCTATAAGAAATTGTGTAGAAATTCGTGTGCTTTGGAAATCATTAAGTTTGATACGGAACCTCCTTAATATTTACAAAACACGTTATGTTTCCCTTTAATACATATCTTTTTTCTACAATTAAAACGAAAATAATCGATACAGGATGTGCGAACATTTCAAAATCATGAGTTGAATAACGCTGACTCCGCCAGATTAAATATTAGAGCATAACACAAAGCGGAGCGGCGACGCACTGGCGCCTACAAACCCAACAGGGATACTTCACGCATTGCGCAACGCGTGAAGTATCCCTGTTAGGTTTGTAGGCGCCAATGCGTGTTCCACGCTGGCTGCCCGCCTGCCACGGCGCTTGAAGCAACTATATTTCACACCAGAGGTATTGCACAGTATCACACGAAACTGAAGGCGCTCTAATATATTAGGAATGGCAGGCATCCATCAAAAGTACGGAGCTCTCCTCGCAAAATAAATCAAGATACTACGGCCCAAAAAGAGCACAGTATTCCAAAAACTCACTAAGTTCTAACATCCTAAATTAGTAACGTTTAGCATAAACTTCATCGCCTGGCTGTGAGTTGCTAAATCGCCGTCGGCTATAGAAGGCTATAAGAAATTGTGTAGCCGGCTAAAGAAGATATTGGAAATCTTACAGCCGGCTGTAGATCTATAGTATTTTGGAACACAGATTCTACTGCCAATTTTTACCAGGGTTTCCATCCGAAAAAATGTGTATAATTGATTAATTAGACCGTTGTGATATGCATTTTGCTGATCCGTTCACTAGATGAAAATGCAATAACATGGAAATTAATTATAAACAAAACCTGAAAATTCAGAGCACCTTTGTCTCCGTCATCCGGCATGATTATTGTTCGAGTTTTTCCTTTAAAATTATCAATAAGCCAAGGGACAAAAACTGAAAAGCGTAATGTGATTTCCTGTAAAATTGTACGTAAGTAATAATTGACTAAAAAAAAGTCGGAAAGCTTTTTCAAATTACAATTGAGTCGGTCATTCTTAAAAAGACTTAAGACCGTCAGGAACAAAAATACGAGAGGAGAAAAATTTAAACTGACCAAATCAAAATCTCATAGCTCCAAAATATTAAAGCATTTAATTTTTTCAGCAAATTATTACTTAATCCAATATTTAAAAAGGATCGATTAAAGAACTTTTTACTGTTTTTCGTGTTTTTTCATTTCTAGCGCCTAAGCTTTTTTTTGAGAATCACCGTGTGAGTGTCCGCGAGTGTTCAATTACAGAAATGCTTGAACTGCTCAATCAATACTTCTTCAAGCTTCTACTGCCAAAATATTCAGGAATGCGTGGTTTAGTACGTGGAAAAGCACACCTCGTGAAAGTTAACTAGATTTCCATCTTGTACATTCACGGATGGAACGTCCCAAATTGTAGTCGAAGTAACCACAAACAGAGACACTGTTCAGTTCACAGTGAGTAGAATCAAACATACCACTATTCGAACACAGAGGTAATGTAAGGAAGTATCAACCATTTTTGAAGGAGATTTCAATATGCGTGATTTCAGGACTCTCTCGGTGCTCGGTTATCTTCTTTTTAATTGTTTAATCGATCGTTTAGGATTTTATCGCACAGTTTTTAATTGACAGTTTTTATAGACACTACTGACGACTAACAAATGAATGGCCATGAACATTTTTTTATGCTCATCTGTTAAAAATCAATGTGATTATCTCAGCCCATTAAAACACACAAACTGCGGAGAAGTAAAGCCAAAATTCGATAGAGCCTGCGAGTTTAAGCGCAGCCTCCTGAAATTGAGGGAAAATTCTGCTCATGTGATCTTCTTCCCTCTGTATTGAGATTTTCAGATTTATGCTGATTTTCAACGCACATTGGCTGAAAAATTCCAACTTACTATGGTTAAATAGGTTGAAAGCATAGAGGAACAAAAGGAGGTGTTTGTATTTCGGGCATCTTGGAATTTTAGATGACGTAGGTCGGTACAGCGACGTTTATCATCGATTTTCTCGGAAATGGTGTGATTTTTATGGAAAAAAGTCATTCTATATAAAGTGCTTGAAATTATATCATGAGTTGATTTAAGCAAAAAAATGTGACATTATGGTCCGTTTTTCATACTTCGAATTCCGGATTTAGCTGACCAGGTTGTACCGACCTACGTCATAGGGTAAAAAAACCTCAAGATGCAAACACCTCCTTTTCTTTCTCTATAGATCGTATTCGATATGTCGCAGGCAATTAGAAATCACGGGCAGTTTGCAAGCGTTTTTCCCGATGCGAATTAGCGTAATGAAGGCCTGATGGGTTAAGGCCTTCAAAAACGTGATCTCGTATTGGAGCGCGCCTTCATTTTTTGTAATACTCAACGCTTTGTCACGGTGTTAGTTTAGTTGCGTGACCCAACTGAACCCAACTAAGGTCATGACTTCCACCACGCGCGCTCTCATGAGTTTACCTGTTACTACCATGCTTTTATGGAGGGAAAATTGTCCACTCTCTTTAAAGGGTAAATAATCAGTACTTTAATATTGTTCCTTTATTTCTAAAATATATTCTTTTTTATTTATTCACCTATGGCTTGCAAATTGCCGGCGATTGTTTCTTGCCTGCGACGGATACATCAAACGGTGAAATTGTATCGATATCAATTGGTTCAAAACATAAACATAGCCTCGAAAGAAAATTCAGAAATCTGAGATGACGGGTATGTTGTAATAGATTTTTTTATTCTTTTGAGTATCAAATGCTAACACAAAGTGACATTGTCAGGAACTTTCTTATTTTCAGCTTTTCCAACTTAAATCCTTATACAATTTGGTTTGAGGATATGTTCTATTGTTTTGAACCAAACGATACATCGAACCGTTATCGAATACGGTCTATGGGTTGAAAGTATGAGTCTTGGTTTGCACTTACCGATGCTGTAGGGGGAGCTGTTGGAGGAACCGTAGCCATCGTCGAGGAGCTGCTGGGGCTTGGGGGCTTGGGCAGGCGGCGGGAGGGGCGGTGGACGCGGGCTCTGGGAGCTCCGCGGTCGGGGCACGGCCATCAGGGGGGGTGAACTCGCCCCCGTGGCCCCCCTAGCGGGAGGCACTCGCGCTGGAGCGCCATCCTCGTCTCCGTCACCGTCGCTTGCTCCTGCCTTTTTCGGCCCAATTATCACTAACTCCATCTACTACGCTCCACTAAGCCCATGCTCACTCCTCCACTCCGTTGCCGAGATCTCCACCTGTCTGCAATCAACAACAAAACCGGTTAATCCCTCATGAGGTTTTCGAAACAATGCAAATACACAGGGAAAAAAAAAAAAAAAAAAAAAAAAAAAAACATTGGATCTAGAGTCTACACTATTGAAAACATTGACAAGAAAAAATACTCTTGATTCAATCAGATTTAAGCTTAAATCAAAAGGAAATCCGCTCAAATTAAGAGGCTTGGTTCTTGATTTAAGCTTAAATCTGATTGAATCAAGAGTATTTTTTCTTGTCGATGTTTTTAAGAGTCTGGACTCTAGATCCAATGTGGTTTTTTTCCAGTGTAGAGAAAAAACACACCGCTTGTGAACCAGTAAGCTGAGGGGCCGACTGATAATTGAAATTGATAGACATAGCGATAGACATAGAAGATGAAGGTTCAATAGAGCGATATTATTTGTCAGAGGGGATGGTCGTCATAAACAAAGGAGGCGAGTATTAGACTAACTGGCGGAAACCCACGAGAGACCCTATAGTTTGTCCATCATTTCTCCCTTAGTCTATGACGACCACCCCTTCCGACCAATAAGACCGCTAAATTGAGCCTTTATCCTCTATGTCTATCGATTTGTCTATCGATTTCAATAATCAGCCAAAATTAAGCTGAAATCAAATCAGCGCTTTATCATTCTGCGAATTGAGTTCTCAGTTACGCAAACTGACCTCTTTAGTTAATAGACTCGAAGTTTTATTTTAACGTGCCAAAAAACTTTTGCTGATGAACATATCGATGACCAAAGTATGCGAGACAATGTTTGAGACGTTGTAGGCTTCCTATCGTACCTAATTTTTTCTTCGGAAAACTAGGCAGCGTTATTTCTCGAAAACTTCTTCAATTTTTCTTTCCGTGAGCAGATTCTTCATAAATTTCACGCCACTTCGTTGCTCTTTTCATTTCGAAAAATTGAAATAGGAGCGGAAATTTTAAATGGTTGGTTGATCAGCGAGTCAGTCGGAGAGGGCTAAATTGACCTGGCTTAACCCAACCTAATCAAATCTGCTGGTAACCCTACAAGGTAAAGCTGGAACCTTCCTAACCTATGCTCCTTTCTATCCTGATCAAAAGGTATTGACAAAGCTGCAAAAAACTTTTCAAACATGCCCGGCAGAAAAGCTTTAACTTCTCTGGCCAGCTTTCAAGGATGAAGGAAAAGTTTTACGCTGATTTCTCTTAAACTTTGTGAGACTACATTTGCTCGATCGTCTTGAGAGTCAAAGCAGCCGGTGAGAAAAGGGTCAGGGACTGTCTCAGTAAGCCCTTCTCAAAACCCGATCCGAACCCAGCTTAGTTGCATGCGGCACTGAGAGGGGAGGGGGAAAGCATTTAAGACTTGGTCCGGTCATTTCATAAAAAAGGCAACAATTTCGTAGGGAGGAATGCTCTTTTTATAAGTTCTGACTCATGAGTCACATGAACGGTGTTTTGTACAAGCCTCCGTAGTCTGTTTATCTTTTACCCCCAAAAATAAAGTAAAAACCGAAAAGGAGAAAAAATACCCAAACGCAGTAATCGCTGCATGAATAAAAATACAAATACTAAAAAAACAAGTATCTTTCTTGCACTGTGAAGAACTAGTAGTGATTGTCTCTTACACAATAAAGAACCAGTGGTGAGGGATTCTCATATTTTGAAAGTTGTACACCCTAAAAAGAAGCTTTGCGTGTTACTAACCTACAAGTCTATTCAACTGATAAACTACTTTTAACAAATGGACGTACTTATGCTAAAAGGAACTTTGTCTCACACAAACCCTATGCACATAGTTCCTTTTGGCATAAATACGTCCAAATGAGGGATAGTATTCGAGTCTCAGAGATTAAAATTGTAAAAAATCATCCTTTTATTTCCGTCTTGATAATTCCCACCAACCTAGGAGACCCTACCTCTGAACCAAGGCCAATAATTTAAAGTTGGGTGATTAAATGAATGGAATAAGTTTTAGACTCGCTGACACATTCACATTTGTTTCACATGGTGTCATAGGGGATGGGGTGGAGGGTTGAAGGCTGGCAAATAGCTGCGCCACTAGCGTGAAACCAGAAACGCAGAAAACTAGTCAAGATTACTTTGCGGATTAATTTTGATTGTAACTGCTGGACATTAACATATTTTTGAGGAATTTCTCTGTAGGCCCTTCCCTGAACAGATCTCAGAGAGGTTGCTATATCGTGAGTAGGATCTCGACGGTTAAACTCCAAAACCACGTATCTTGGTTTGCGACGTTGCAGACTTCCTGCCATACTTGGTTTTTTATAAGGAAAACTACAAAAATTCAATTCTTTTAAAATTCTATGATTTCCCATCTCCGCGCAAAGAATATTCTTGGAAAACTTCAAAGAATGATGTTGATTTGTTCTCATTCAAAAAAATAAAATGGAGTGGAGATTTTAATACACCGTAAGCGAAATGCGTGGTTTGGAGGGTTCATCTTCGATATATCGCCACACTTAGGGTAAAAAAAAATCATACATTTGAAGGAGAATATGCGTGCTTTAAAACTTTGGCTTATCTGAAAGCTTGCAAAAATATGGTGTGAAAAATAAAGCCTGGTGAGAGCTATAGGACGGATGCAAACGATACATTTAATAGAGCGCGCTCTTACTTTAAATATGATCATATTTTTCTCTGAATACTTCTCATTTTATACACCTCCCCTCAAATATTTCTCTTCCACGTCTATTTGAAGTAACTTCATACACGCAGTTACGATGAATAGCGTGATCATTGCGTTTCATTCAGGCGGCTTTTCATACTCCTTAATTTGAATTTAAAGTCGAGGATAACTCCGCAGACGCAGAAAACTGTTTGGACATCAAAAATATGTTTAGAGTATGTGTATAACTTGATACTTTTCCTTCCATTTCAATGTTGCAAATATTTTTGGCTCCTTTTTAGCCTCTCACTGGCATGTTATTCAATGCACAAATTTTTACTGATTGGCAAAACGGCTATATTTAGAATGCGCTTTAGGGTTGTATTCATAGAATTTCCGTAAACAACTTTTATGCTAGGGGAGGCCACATGTATTTTAAGTTGTGATACAGAGAGTTTCAATGAGGACTCAGGTATATGGCATCATTAAAAAGACATTAAACACATTTTTACAACCCTTGAGTAAAGTTTAACATTATGACGTTAGATTTTGATCTTTACGGGCTGAAAATGATTAGGAATACAAAATACGGGTAAAAGAGAAAATGATTTTAATCAACTTTAAGGCAGGTACGGACCAACCTTAAAATTTGTGAAATCCTGAATATTTTGAAATTTTTGGAGGGGCAAATCTTCACAACTCCCTCCAAGGATCTATTCCCAAAGCCAAATTTTTAAATTATACCCGGGGCCTATGAAAATTGCCCGCTCTTAAGGATAATATATCAAAGATCTCCTTTAACTTTCCATAATCACATCGTAAACCATTTAGGGTCTCTCTAAATAAAGAAACTGTTTGAAGAGTGACCATGAATACGTCCCTTACTCCATTTTTTCTGAGTTACGATATTTAAGTCGAAGGCGAATACCAAGTTACAAGTTACCCTAACCTCTAAACCGATGTCACCCCTGATCCAGATTAGAGTACCTATATAGGGAGAGTATGGACATGTTGAAAATGGAGCTCTAAGACCCCAAAAGAGTAGGCAATCTATGAATTCAAATTAACCAGAGTGATTTATAATCACAATTGTTGGGAACTGTCCCTGGTAAAATTGGCAGTAGAATCTGTGTTCCAAAATACCATAAAAGTACGACCGGCTGTAAGATTTCCGATAGCTTCTATAGCCGGCTACACAATTTCTTATAGCCTTTTATAGCCGATGGCGATTAAGCAACTCACGGCCAGGCGATAAAGTGTATGCTAAAAATCACTAATTACGGATGCTAGGACTTAGTGAGTTTTTGGACCACTGATCTCTTTTTGGGCCGTAGTATCTTGATTTATTTTGCAAGGAAAGCTCCGTACTTTTGATGGATGCCTGCCATTCCTAATATATTAGAGCGCCATCGGTTTCGTGTGGTACCTCTGGTGTGAAATAGTTGCTTCAAGCGCCGTGGCACGCTGCGGTGCGGCATGCCGGCAGCCAGCGCGAAACGCGCATTGGCGCCTACAAACCTAACAGGGATACTTCACGCGTTGCGCACTGCGTGAAGTATCCCTGTTAGGTTTGTAGGCGCCAATGCGTCGCCGCTCCGCTTCGTGTTATGCTCTAATATTTAATCTGGCGGAGTCAGCGTTATTCAACTCATGATTTTGAAATGTTTGCACATCCTGTATGGATTATTCTCGTTGTAATTGATGAAAAAAAAATGTGTATATATTAAAGGGAACTATAACGTGTGCTTTGTAAATATTAAGATGGTTCCGTATCAAACTTAATGATTTCCAAAGCACACAAATTTCTAATAGCCTTTTATAATCGATGGAGAAAAATCAAAAGCCAGGCGATATAAAGTGTAAAGCCCAGCGATAGGAACTATAGCCCGGCTGCATAATTTTTTATCGCTTCGTATAGCCCGGCCGTATGATTTTCTCCGCATTCTACAGCCAGCTATATGCTTTTCTGTAGCCTTCTTTAGCCGGCTATAAGAATTCCTATGGTATTTTGAAACGCAGCTCTTATCGCCAATTTTTACCAGGAGTCGTTGGTAAAGCACATATTGACTTGGTTTTTGCGTAAACTTACTCATTTTTGCAGAAGAATGCTTACCTACGAATTTTCTTGTCCATTTTCGTTTGATATTGGAGCCTAAAGATTGACAGTGACATTTTTTGTTTTCAAAGGTTACCTACCCTTTTGGGTCCTAAGAGCTACATATTTCCAGTTGTCCATACTCTCCCTGTATAGGTACTCTAGTGCAGATAGGTCCTTCCTTAAACTCCCCAACGCAGGAACATATCCCGGGCGGAGAAGCGTTCACAAATGCAATAAGTCGTCAGGCGAGAGAATCAAAAGAGCAGGGACAAAATCGCGCGACGCTC